TCATATACATATGCCATAACACAATCAAAGGAAGCTTAGAAAGAACTTCCGTGTGCTGAGAGTATTGGAGACACGTTAAAATTAAAAATTTGCTTTTCAAACAAGAAGTGTGGCAACTAAGATTTGTCTGCACGACATGAAAACAATGTGATTCACATTATCAAAATTTTCATCCATGGTTTTTAGTCTAATTATTTCCAGAGCACCTCTTGACGATTTCAATTTAAATTTAGTTTTTTAGATATCAGAAATAGGCTAATAAATAATCAATATAGATTTAGGTCTGTATATAGTTTCAGAACTCACATGTACAAAATTTAATTATAATGTGATGAGTAATCATGACTGAATTAGCAGAAAGCTGAAAAGTAAATTATTATGCAAATTAGGTAATTATTATTGATGTGTATGAACCTAAAACTAATTAGATCATTCATTGAATTAAGATGAGTAATTTCACGGACCATCTATGTACAAAGTTTCATTGAAATGTGATTAGAACCAACAAATATGAATTATTATGCAAATTAAGTTAATATGATCTGATTTTAACCCAAAACTAATCAGGTCTGTGCATTGTCCTAGAACACCTATGTACCAAGATTCATTGAAACGGGACAATTAGTACTTGCAATATCAGTGTAAAAGCCGAAGACTAACTAATTATGCAAATTAGTTGATTAATATGCACAGTTTTACCAAAAGTAATCAGGTCTCTGCGATCTTCTAGATCATCTATGTACCAAGTTTCATTGAAAATAAATTAAGTAATAGTACTTGAAATATCAAAAGCTGAAAATTGATTAATTATGCAAAATTAGGTAATTAATATTTCACATATCTGTCTGTGCATTGTCCTAAGTTCCATTGAAATGTGATGATTAGTACCAGAGACATCAGTTGAAGAACCGAAAATTTACTAATCATTATGCAAATTAGGAGAATTATAAGCATGAATTTTTACCAAAAACCAATCAAATCTGTGCATTAGTCCAGAGCATCTATGTGCCAAGTTTCATCAAAATTCAATGAATGGCTTTTAGATATCAGTGGAACAGTCAAGGAACAGTTAAAAATTAGCTAATTATCATGCAAATCAGGTAATTAATATGCATGGTTCAACCAAAACCTATTCATATCTGCGGATTAGCCCAGAGAATCTATGTACCAGATTTCATTAAAAACCAACATACGGTTCGTGAGATATCAGTGGAACGGACGGACGGACACACACACACACATACAGACTAACCGCAAAGACTTCCATTGTGTGCTTCACGGGAGTCCAAACCACTGTAAACAGTTTCACAAGAAAAGAAAAGAAAACATGAATGTCACAGTCCCCGTCATTTAATTATAAAATACTCATGATAAAATGATACATGGAACCTCTCCAAACAGGTGAATTAATATGTACTTTATGTGGGTACAACTCATCATAAAGTGATTTCCCATAATCTAGTATTGTACTGATAACTTCCATTGACCCATGTCCAAAATCTCAGAGTACAACGAAAGTGCAACCAAACTACGTCTCATACATGTATACATGCTCAAAAACTGCATTCATAAATCTGAGTAAACCTTGATGTACCTTTAATAACAACTTGACTTCTTTGTTAATTCAGGTCTTTGTATATTGCCAGGACCTGGGTTTGTTTCTGTATCACCACTATAATTCACCTCAAAATGTAACCATTACACCCCTCTACAGTTTCCACAGAGATTGGTAATAGTACGACCCATCTTTCACTGATTCAGATCAAGGTCATAACCAGGTCATGGCATCACTAAAAACCCTGGCATTACAATCTAAGCTAATTAATTATTCTGAGCATGCTCAGTAGTGTTGGGATAGGTAATTTTGGAAAAAAATCATGAAAAAGACCCATTTAGGATTTTCAGATCTGGCAAAAAAATTATGTGCAAATTTGGCAGAGACTTATTCATCAACCTGCCAAGTTTCATCGATATCTGCTGCATAATTTGAGAAAATGGTAGAAACCGGAAATAAGAAACTATACTCTGGAGTTTTTTGTTTTACAAAAAATATATAATTAATTGTCAATTTAGCCTTTTTAACGCGATCACGAAAACTAGTGTGACTGCGAAAGTAATCCTGACTGGACGCATCTGCAGGCGACCTCCTGCGTTGGAATGAAAACCAAAGTGGAATCACTCCAGTGATTATGCTAATTAAAAGATGTTGACGAGCATCCATCTCTGCGATGGAATCGAGTCAACCGTTAAAAGGTTGCGTTTACTTTCTCACACCCACTCATGAATAATCAATGACATCATGAATAATTATTATCAGTCAAATACCCGCAGATGCGTCCAGTCGGGACTTTTTTAACGGTCAGGTTAGTTTTCGCAATCACGCTTATAGGACTAAAAAAACAATTATTTCTTTTTGTAAAAAAAACAAGCAGCCTGACGGCTGAGATAGCCCCGCTGTTAGCAATGAACATTTCAATTAAAGAACTGAAGATATCATTAGAAAATGAACAATATGTATAGTATCAAAGCAATCAGACTTACGTTTTTTTACAAGAAGTCGAAAATTTTACTTTTTCCCAAAAATATTCACCAAAAATAGAGAATTTGAGATTTTGACATGAAGTGAACAAATCTGAGAAAGAACCATCAAAGGTACTTGCATATCAAATTAAAAAACATTCTGACTTGCGGTTTCGAAGAAGAAGTTGAGATTGTAAAGTTGATGACGACGGACAATCAGTAATATGAACAGCTGTGTCAACTTTGTCGACAGTAGAGCTAAAAGTTGACGAGGACGACAGACAATTACTCATATGATAAGCCCCGCTCGACAAAGTCAACAGTGGAGCTAAAAAGTGATTAATGTAATCATAGTATATCATGCTGGGAAAAAGTAAATTAAAAGAAGCAACATTTTATATATTTCCAAAAAAATGGTTTAAAAAGGCTTCATCATACAGACCCAACAGTATTTTTTTTTCTGGAAGTTGTTGATCAAGACATGCTCTTGGGAGCTTCAGCATATTAATACAGGTGTTTGCAGTAGGAAAGAATAATGCATCTTTTAGCTTTTCATAGAATGATAATGAAGGACCTTCTCTATATCCCAAAATTGGCTCATGGAAGTCACATGTAACAAACTTCAGAATGTGGGTCAATGTAATCCCAGATCTTCTACCACCTACAATATATTAAGAAATAGAATGATGTACAAAAATGTATTGGGGTCAATTTTACATTGTCAAGAATTATGTATCTGCACTGCACTGCACACCACACCACCCTACGCACTACACCACACCAAACCATACACCACACCACACACACCACTCCACACTACACCACACAACCCGAACACCACACCACACCATACACTACACCACACCATCCTATACCACACCACACCAAACCATACACCACACCACACACACCACTCCACACTACTCTACAGAATCAATGCAGTACAGTTCTAAATATTATTGGTCCTGTAGTGAAGTAGCAAATAAACAAGCAGCCTGTATGTAATTAAAGATATTGTCATAAAATGAACACATCTGATGCTGGTCAATTCAAGGAATGTACATATACGAATCAAAGCAATCAGCAACAGTTTTTTTGAGAAATTGTTGAAAGTATCAAAAGTAAATAATTGAAGATATTGCCACAAAATTAACAAGTCATTAAAAATGACACAGTCCCCATTACATTTTTTAAAGTTCTCTTTGTGCTTGTCATATTAAAGTGGAGGGGTTGTCACAAGCTTGTCCTTAAAACTTGAATCCCAAGTTGCGTTTACAACAGATTGTTTATTTACATCAAATTCGAACATGTGTTGCGTGAAGACCCCTCCGGTTTAAGACATAGCAAAGAAAAAGTGAAAGCATGTCCATCACATTTTAAACAAACAAGATGGCCGCCAGTCGGGCAAATTTGATCAAATTGCAAATTGAATTGACATGTACATGTATCCATTTATGACATGCTAAATATCAATGAAAATGATACATGGGTGACAGAGATATAGTAATATGGATTCAAATAAAAACAGCCGTTATTCGGCCATCTTTGATCTGATTATGAAACAAAGTGACATGTATGATGTATGTGCCAAATACGAATGAAAATGGCACATAAATCTTAGAAATATAGTAGTGAGGCCAAAAAGTCAGATGGCTGTCAATCGGCCATCCTTGATCCAATTTTCAAACAAATTTGATACCACAAGATACCACATTTAAAAAACAAAACAAGATGCCTGCCAGTCGGCCATCTTTGATCCAATTGCAAAAGAATATGTCATGGACATGTATAATCTATGTACCAAATTTTAATGAAAACTGACAAAGCATGTCCAAAATACAACATTTTCAAAAAACAAGATGGCTGCCAGTCGGCCATTTTGAATCGAATCGCTAAACCACTGCATGTGCATATGTCCCACATAAAGTACTAGGCACATGCTAAGAATGAACGGAATCGGTCCAAAATATGACTCCGGACGGACGGACGGACGGAGACCGAAAGAATTAGAATATTGTCACAAAATGAAAAAAAACGGCTCAACAGATGAAACAGTTTTTGGCAAGCAAAAGCCAAACCAATCCATTAAGTTCAGGCCCACGTCAGTTACCTAGAACTGCATTTGTTTGTTAAAACATCAAAGCTATCAGTCTATTTTAATATGATTTACACAATCTGAATATTATATTTTTTAATATGCAATCATCATTTGACATACAAGAACATGTATGCAAAGATTTATAAAAATTCAATCTACTTGCCTGCTACTTCTCTCAGGTATGCAATGAAGACTGCATAAACTTCATTTTCATACTTGCGGCTGTTTGATCCCTCAGGCTTTAAGAGAAACTTTAGTTTCCGAAAGGTCAAAATGCTATTTTCATTTGGTACAAACAAATACATAAACTGTGGCAGCTTCTTACAAAGCTACAATAAAATCAAAGAAGGAAAATTTAAAAAATAAAATAACTGACATTTCTGAAAAAAAGTTATTCAACATGTAATATGTACAATTTGCTGAACACCCAGTGTTCTCCACGAAGCGTTTCTGAGTAGAAGGTGCAACTCTGACAACTGACAGGTTGTTTGCATCTACTGGTGTATATATAGATATTCCATCTTAACTGATCTAAACTTGACTTTTATTGTCAACCTATTATAGACATTTATTATGTCTGATGTTAACGCATTAAACTAAACTAAACATGACAATGCACAACGCCTAGATTTTTTCTGAAATTATTGAAGTCAAAATTCACCGTTCAAAAGAGACTGCTTGAATAAAATTGAGAAGACATTCAATAAATTCACCATCATTTAAAAATTAATGGCTGACATCATTGACGTTGATGAGACAAAGCGTATCACATGTTTGCATAATCAGTCGTTAATAATCAATACAGGAATACATGAATGAAATGTTTAGAAAGCAGAAGTAAACCACGCTTTGAATGGGAAAACTAAATCATGTAACTAATTCTGTCATTCTGTATCCATCAACTATTTTTTTTTAATGGCTATTTTTTTTAAAACTACCAGCTTAAATGCTTTGACAAGTGGTATGTTGACCTCTATTTGATTTGTTAATTTTGTGACAATATGATCACTTGTCTATTTTTAGTGAATATCTTTGTGATTTTGGGTGAAAAAATGCTATTTTTGACTTCTTTAAATTAACAGCACTGATACTTGGGGTAAGCAAGATTTGTAACCTGGAAAAATTGCACTTGCCATAGCAACAACTGTGTAAACTATCTTGATTGTGATATGTCAATAATATGGTAAAAATAACTATATCTCATCATATCAAACACTATCAACCTTGTTTTGCTGAAGACACCATACAAACACAGTGGACCTATTTTGGTCGTCAGGTCACTAGTTGATAAATGACTTGGCCTTTGAAGTCAAAAGACACAGTTTCAGGTCGAATCGGATATCAGTTCTCAGCATGCAATCTACAACATTCGCTTACGATGAAACTAAGTTGAGTTTTACTTGCATTTCATAACTGAGTAATAATAATCAATGCTTGTGACTTCTCAAAAACAAGCAAGTTATTCGCTGGTAAAATGCTGTAACTGGGCGTAACCCATGAAAAGTTTAAGCTAAAACGTTGTTTTTAGTGATTTGAGATTTAAAATCTGCATTCTTACAACAATGCCCATACATATCTTGCATATGCCAAGTTTATCAAAACCAATTCTGAGCTTTTTAATACAAAGTGATTGCATGGTACTTTCAAAAAGTTCTTGTCGAACCTCTTCTTTCATGAACTGTGGTATTCTACCATTTTGCAATGTACTAAGTCCAGTAAAAAGAAAGGCAAAATATTGGTCAATTGTACAAATGAGGAATGATATATGGTAATTATTTTATTAAAATAGTTTTTTGAATAAGTATAACAATTGGTATCAATATAAAAAAATAAAGAAGTTTAATATTTTATTTCTGACACCATCAGCCTATTTTTTAGGAAAATTTAAGACAATTAGTTGTACACTTTTAATATGCATCTACTCAGAGATGGCTAGTATAACTGAATCATGCCATGTATTTTCATTCACAAGTTAATGTAAATCCAATGAACTTACCCATTATGATACCAACAACCTCATAGTCGTCTGCAAGATGAAGCTTTAAACCATTTTCAAAATATTTATCATTTATTTCCCTCAATACTTCTGTAAAGAATTCTTTCCTTGAACCACCAAAAATCATGGGCTTCCTGTAATTGTAAATATAGTAATATTTTTAACTGATAACATTCTAGCTATAGGTTACAATAGTGAATTTTAAGAAGCAATAAACCAGTTCAGTTATATATAGTTATATACAACTCAGCAAAGGCTTTTTATACACTTGAGATGAGATGCTGTGATCACCAGAACCTACCTCACCATAGAATTCTACTTCTAATGTCAATCTCAGGTTGTTAAGTAAGGCAATTTCATCCATTCCAGTACTTAAAATTTCAAATCTGTCAACCATTATGAAATTGGTTTGGCCTTCTAAGACTTCACTTGAATCATCAATGTCCAATTTCCTTCCAGTCACCATTTGACTTTGAAAATATTTCAATATTTCTACTGGGTCTGAAATATTGTTTTTTTTTCGCAATAGTCAAAAGTTACATTTACTGCTATATCCACAGAGTTGGATGGAGGTTTAGTTTCTTCATCAGACTGAAAATAATCATAACTAGTGAGTAATGAATGAGTAAAATCATTGAAAACCAAGTCTTATTAAAATACAACAATTGATTTTGAGATGTAGGTAGAAAAATTGGGTAATTATTATGCAAATTAACACAAAATAGCCACTGGTCTGCCATTTTGAATACATCTATATATCTATAACATGATGTATAGTAAATATATACAATTTTAACATAATCAGTCAAATAATGTCAGAAATACGGCTCCAGAACCGCATTCAGCCAGCCATTTTGAATCCAAATTCAAAAATAAAACGACATGCATCAAGGTCTCTTAATGTTCCATAATGCACAAAAATGGACGCCATTCGGCCATCTTGAATCAGATCGTGAAACAAATTGATGTGCATATGCATAATATTATGTATGATATATGTGTGAAGTTTGAATGTAATCGGTCTAGCCATGTGTAAGATACAGGTCCGGACACACACATGCACAGATACACAGACGCACAGAGTTCAATCTATAAGTCCCTGTTTTCGAGCTGTATCTGAACAGGGACAAAAACAAATAATCAGAGTCGCAATTCATGCGAAACGTTTGGAATTATACTGTCTGTAATTATTACGGTTGCAAAAATAATTGTGATCTGAATTTGGGAATGTTTTTTTTTAATGTAAACTTTGTCTGAAGAAAAAAAAGTGTGCATAAGAATTGAATTTCTAATATTGGTACAAACCAAAACCTTACAGCCAAAATTACATAGTTTGTGAAAATCATTTCACACAAGATCAGATGCTTTGTACAAAATACATGATAGTAAAATATATATTGTGTTAATTCCAGAAATGAGTTTTGATGGATTTTCAAAATTATAGCTGTTATGCATCTTATGATTTGTTATTGTTTACTGAGCTAAATATCCATATTTTGTTGTTGAAAGTCATAAACAAATTTGCAGTTGGGCTGTGCCGTGTGTAAAGTATAGGACAACGAGACAAGGGGGAATCCCCTGCAGGAAAACATGAACTCTTCTATGTGTTAACCAACAACGATTAGCCCAGAATGAAATAAATTTTAAGTTGTTTAAAAACCGTGAGTGTTGATTTGTATGCTATTGCCTGTACTAGGTGTCGAAGAAGCAATATGCCATGTACTGTTAGGTTAATGAGTTAATTAGTATACAAGCAGCTCTGGTCATAAGTATTTCATTAGTTTGAAGCTGCTGGTACTGAGACTTCACTTTTGGAATATTCTGGCTCAAAAGACAGGAACCAATCCCTGTTCCAAATTATCCATAATGATACAAGTGAACGTAAAAAACAATACAAGAACAGCAGAGAATGTACAATTTATAAGCAATGGATTGACTTTGAATTAACCTAGCCTAATATGTCACAGATGTACCCCAATGTAATATTTTACTTTGTTAATTGGTTGTGTTTGTTTTATTGTGGAATAATGTTTGTTAACATAGCGATTGGTATAATTGGTCGTTGGTCTTTCACACCTGTTTATTTAATTTTGGATAAATTTCCAATTTTCTATGCTGCACCTGACACAGAAATATTTTTTAAACAAAAAACTATGTTCAAAAAATACTCACCAAGCGTGGATTATTTTCAATTTCACCAGAAACTTCCAAAGAAACACTACTACTACCAGAGCTACTTCTTTGTTCCATATATTAAAAACACACCATCATATATAGAAGAAATGTTATCTTATATTGGTCAAACGATACCATATATAAACGTTTTGTCATCGTATATTGAAAACACACCATTATATATAGAAGCAATGTCACCATATATTGGTCAAACGACACCATATATAAACGTATTGTCATCATATATTGAAAACACACCATCATATATAAAAGCAATGTCACCATATATTGGTCAAACGACACCATATATAAACGTATTGTCATCATATATTGAAAACACACCATCATATATAGAAGCAATGTCACCATATATTGGTCAAACGACACCATATATAAACGTATTGTCATCATATATTAAAAGCAAGTCGTTATATAATGCAACAATGTCGTCATATACTTAATGACAACCACATAAGACAGTGACGGCGTTCCATAATTTGACATTGTAAGGTTGTGTGTGTGATCATATGCCGCAATATTTATATTTGTTATATATATATTGGTAGAAATGATGAACATTTTTGCAGCATTGCACACGATGGACATTTTAAAAATGTTAGATTTGGCAGTGTTTTTCGTACTTTCTTATGTCATGAGCTGCAAACGGCGAAGAAGCTTATTGAAACTTGTAATACTTCTTGGAATTTCATTTCTAATAGAAGATCAGGCTGTGAAACACGATCTACAATAATTCAAGGTAGTGGTTGTTCATCTGTTATTACAGTTTCTATAGTGATAGTCAGAGCAGTAGCTGTGAATGTTCTTACGGAGAGGTTTATAAAAGTGTAAGTTCTTTCGGATTCCACCTGATCAATTAAATCAGCCCATAGAGTCAATTCTATGGAACCAGTATTATCAGCGACAGCTTGTTTGTCAATCATTCTACCACATACATTTTGCTTCTTCACTGCGCCAATTGACTTCAACACTATGGCTGTGATGGTAACCTAGAAAATTAACACACATATAGTTATAAAAATGTTCACAAATTTGCATAATGGCAGTGTGTCAAAGCAGGCCCCAAGTGAAGTAATCATCAAATCAATTTCTCATGGTATTGAAGTAATTTCAATATCAGTAAGATAGAAGACATTAACATTTCATTGTATTTGTATAACGTTTTTCTGACTAGAGATGCTAAAAAGTGCTGTCATGCGAGGTGAATTCAATATTCTTTTTATATTTACTGAACAATAAACATACAACCATAAGAAATATCTGTTTGAACTCATTTAATTCAAATAAAAATAACTCTGGTGTACATCGATAGAAATTTGCAGCAATGGCCACCGCCAACAACCATTTTGGTCATAGGTCATAACAGATCATAACAGATATAGTACTCTCTGCCAAGAGAGGGCGCACTACTACAGTTACTATACATATGCAATATCATAACAGTAATAGACATTAAAGTACACAAACAGTAAGCACTACGAAGTTTCAACCCATTTGAGCAAACAATTTGGTCGAGTATCAACAAAACATGCTGAAAGTTGTTAAATAGTATGCAAACGAATTTATTAAAATATGAACGGAATTGTATGGAAATGAATGTAATTACGTCACAAAGTTTATGTGTACTAAATTTTAATTAATTTCCCAAGTAATTCTTGAGATATTGATGGGAAAATGCTGACACATCCACACGCACATCTGAATGTCATTATGCCCCTTTGTGCGCTGCACAGGGCAGCCAAAATGATTGTTTCAGTAACCCTAAATACGTAAGACACGCTCCCCTTTGCACGTGTTCTCTGTAACGCACGTGCTCACCCAGTTTTGGCAGACCCCCCGACTCGAGTTGTGCTGAAATGCAAATAAAACGCCATGCCCTTCCGCGATGTTCTATTCTACACGGGCGCCGACAACCAATAATTGAAAATTAGAAAAAGGCCAATACATACATTATATAATATTTAGGAAATTCTCAATAAATGAAAAGTACTTACAGGCTGAAAACCAGTAAACATTTCTGTTATTTCCATTATGTGATACTGTTTGACTTTTAGCCACGAATGGATCGCCTTGGAACTTGTAGGTCTGAAATGGCAGGGTTACTTCTTCCAGAAATCAGGTTGACTTTACCAAGTTTCACGGGACTTTTTGATTTCATCATCGATGCAAATTTGTCGTGCTTGTCCAGCGAATAACATACTAACCGTTGATAAGTTTCTCATTCGGTTTGAATCGTACCATTGCAGGAGCGGTTGTTGTTAGTGGAACATTTATCAGGAGAGACACCATATACCCATCGTCCGTTGGTCACTTGATGTTTGCTCTGATTCGTACTGCTTCTGATATCAGTAGCGCCGATTTAAATAATAATAAAAAAAATATATTCACTCTGGGCAATCCAAATCCAAAGCGAGGATCCATGTGGTCTCGTCGGAGACGTTCGGTAAATACTCGCGCAGTTCGAAACAGGGGGGGGGGTAATCATAAGATAGATATTATTCTTAAATGCAAAGAGGCATTATAACTATTCATAAAATCTGGGTTATAAATTTGTTATAAAAAATGCTCAACCATTCCAATTTTGTAAATGCCTTCATTAACAGCACAACAAATTATAAAAAAAAATGTCATGACATTTTACATGGGGTTCAAAAACAAAAACCAAATGGTTAGAGGTTGGGTGATATTTGGATCTTGTTGCCACTATTCTTTTCCAGAAAAGTTAAAGACGAATTTGCTTGAGAAGGGATTGTTCTTCAGAGATAAACCAAGTGATGCGATAATTTTTAGGAGATATCTAGGGTGATATTCTTCACCATTGCCAGATATGATCATTGTCTTGAGTAAATAAACTATTCAAGACTCAATCACTCAATGATTCAGATTAGTCTTTTCAAAAAAAAAATAAGAAGCTTATGTATGACACTATGTATGCTGCACATGCATATGGATCTAGCACAAACTTGATCTTGATTAGCATCTCACACTGACAGGAATGGTTTCATTTAAGCATTGACCCTAATGTCTAATTGATTTCTTTTTAGAAATATTTGTGGTACATATAATGATGTTCCGATTGCTTTGAAATACTACTCCTCTGTAATAGCAAGCTTTGTCAGGAAATCACTAAAAGACATAGCTATACCATCTTCTACATGTTCTAATTTTTTTAAAATTTTCAAGTATATATCCTTTAATTTCTTCACTTTCAAATGGTGTAATTGGATAATCAAACCTACAAATTGGCTTACCACATTTGCGACAAGTTTTTGA